AGCTTTTCGGGCGGCACGAAGCGCTTCAATTTTGGCAGCGAGACGAGCTCGGATGGCAGAGGTGTCGGCAGGGAGCTTAATAGACTTAGGTTTCTCTGAAGGAGGAATAGTGGATGAGATGGAGGTAGTAGTGCTGGCAGGCTCGGCGGTTGTCTCCGCGGGAGTAGTCGTGGAATCGTTGGTGTCAAAGGTAGGAGATTGTGGCTCGGAATCATTACTTGAGTTGGCGGTGGCCTCGTCCTCATTCTCCAGACCCGAGATGTCCATAGGTAAAACCTCGCCGTCACCATGGGCTGTTGTCTCTTCCTCCTCCTCGACTTCCTTTTGCTTCTTCGCGGCTTTCTTCTGAGCCTTTGGTGTCGGAGTTGGCACGTCCTTTTCCTCGGCCGCAGGAGCCTCTGTCTTGTTGACCTTCTTCTCAGCCTTTTTCTCGGCCCTCTTCTCCTTCTTCATCTCCTTCTTGGCCGCCCTCTTCTCTTCCCTTTTCGACATCTTGGAAGAGGATGTCTCAGTTGTGTCCCTTACCTCGGCGTCTATCTCATCGTTAAACTTCTGCTTCTTGTTGGTTTCTGAAATATCCTGGGCTTCTGTCTCTGTCGCGTCGTTGCGCTTCTGTTTCTTGTTGGTCTCGGCTGTCTTGACCTTGAGCCCCTCACCAGGCTTCTCCATCTCTACGCCAGGGACAGGCTCATGGTCCTCCCAATCATCTTCTTTATCAGCATCGTCATGCTTCTTTATCTCACGCAGCTTTCGCTTGTTCTTGGCCCGTTCATCCAAGACTTCCTTGGCATTTCGATTCCGCTCGCTGTCGGGATCCAGCTTTCCGCGTCGGGCATCGGCAGCCTGTTGTTTTGTCTGTTTCTTCTTGCTCCATTGATCCTGCGTTTGTATTAGCCTGATTCTGATTGACCGCGATGCATGTGGTGTGTCGTTCCAGGCGAGGATGAAGTTGGCCTTTACTTGGCAAGGCATTGGTTTTAACATACACTGTTGTCTTGTTCATAGTACATCTTGGCTGGGATGAGGCCAAGGATGCCCTCGAAGGCTCCGCGTTGGCCGCTCAGGTAATCCTAAAAGCGCAAACAGTCAGCTTCAGGGTTCCCTATCGCCATGATTCAAAGATTTGTCCCATCACAGGCGGGGCTGGAGGGCATCTGGAAGAACGGACCTGCAGCTCAGACTCTGTCATATTAACTGGTGGTTGAGAAGGTTGGATATCAGTGATACCGTGATATCTCCAGTATTAGAGCAAGTCAGCTATGGAGAGTCGTGGCGATGAAATGCCCTCGATAACAAAAATGAGGTTGGAAAAGAAAGCTCGGATGGCGATTTGCTACTTCAGTTTTTCGGGGAGGATCGTTGTAATTTTTTTTCTTGAGCCTGCTAAAGAATGACCGGCTTTGTGTGGGGAAGGCCCATTCAAGACAGTCGATCCACCCCCTGCAGTTAGCGCATTCCATCAGGCCCAGGCTGCTAGGTACGTACCGATGCCATATTAAGGGTCCTCTGAGCCTCATCAAGCATTCATTCATTGTATGAGTCGAATCGATCGCAAATCTTATTATGACTGGGGAGATCCTAAGCTTGAAACCCCTTCATTGAGGTGCGCTTATACGACCTGTCACTCCAGAGTTTATGAGTCATCCAGGCAGTATCTTACCTACCAGGTAATGCTGAAAACCAGGGCCTGTGTCGTCGTTTCTTAGATGTCTTCAGGCCAAGACACTTACGTCGTGAGTGTGAATTCAGAAGAGTCGCCAATGGTTTCAACTAGCTTATGTGTCACCGAAATACAGTCACCACTTAATCGTTCTTTTATGGTCATAGGTCTGTGCTATTTGCTACGCCGCGATGCTTGAAACTTTGGGCCAAGCTTGGCTGAAATATGGATGGAATTCGATGATGTCCATAAGTAATCTAAGTGCGATATATCGCCACTTATCATCGAAGTCTGTGCCGTCCTAATTTCTCACTAATCTCTCAGATTTCCATGCTATGATGAGATTCACAGATTGCAGCTAGTAGGTCGTTCTTAAGACCTCATGTGAGAGATTTGCAACATGGGGGCTAGAAAACCAGGTATAGACTTGTTTCACTTTACGCCTTTCTGTTCAATATCTTGAACAAGTTGAGTCTAGATAATACCTGAGCAATAGCCAAATCATATACTTTCATGGGAACTCGTATGTCATGCTCTTAGTGGCCTCTATTTCTTCTTGCCCTTCTTTCCGGCGGCAGCTTCTCGTCGGCGGGCCTCCCTGGCCTCGAACTCGGCCTTCTTGACCTTTTCTTGCTCCTCTCTTTCTTCACGCTCAGCCTGACATTATGTTAGTAAGGTCACGCTCCGGGTACGTGGGTAACTCACTTGTCTCCGCGCGGCGTCAAGGGCACGTCGCTCGCGGATCTCCTTGAGACGCTCCAGATCGGCCCGAGACTCGTCCGTCTTGCCCTGAGCTGTCAAGCGCATGTGTCTCTCCTTAGCAGCTGCGGCCTCGAGAGCTTCACGCTCACGTCGGCTTGGTGCTGCTTGCAGGTTCTCGACACCATCTGTGATTTCGTCAACACCAGAAGACGCCGCTTGTTTGCGGGCCTTCTTGGAGTGGTTTGGGTTTGCAGGCATATCGTCATCCTCTTCGCTTTCGCTCTCGTCCTCGTCGCTTGATGGAAGATCGCCGACTTCGACTGTCTTGGCCTTCTGTCTGGCTATGGCAGCCTCCTTTCGAGCTTTCTTCTCGGCCTTTCGAGCCTCGCGTGACTGCTCTTGGGTCTGTTCCTGAGAAGGGCCAGCACCAGAATCTTCCTCGCTGTCCTCTTCCTCTTCCTCTTCGGTAGATTCCTCGTCGGAAGACTCTTCTTCATCGCTGTCGTCGTCCTTCTTGTTTGGGTCGACAGCCCACATGCTAACCTCGTTTCCGTCGGCATCGAGAGGTCGGAGATTGCGAGAAAACTTCTTGCCACCTGAGAATTTGTCAGTCTGGTCGTTGGGCTCGTGCTCGTGCTCGGGCTCGTGGTCAACATACCTCCTCGTGTGGGCTTTCGAAACTTTCCTCCTCGGCCACGCGAGCCTCCTCCAGGGGGACCACCGGGAGCCATGATGGGTAAGTTGTGAGAGAATAGGTACGAGGGAGGTGAGCTTTTTTGGGGAACAGAAGTCTATCTCGAGACTTTTGTGTTATGAATTGTTCAAATCGTTTAGGTCGGGATATTCTGTGTTGTCGATTATCGCCGTCTCGCAAATGAACGTTTGTTTGCTGGTCAAACTTGTTCAACAGGGCGGGGTAGCGGGGTAGCTAATGACGGCAGCTCTGATAAACGAACAAGCACGAGATGGAGTGACGGAGTGTTAATCAGGAACTTTTGGGTGACGTTACTTCTCTTATATATGATCGCAAATCTAAATTCAACTCACTGCACTGCAGGCAGAATATGATTCAAAACATAAACGATCCTTTCACTCGGAAGTTTATCAAGGTGAATGGCCAGAAGTGATAGGCGTATAGCCTAATTAACTTAAGCAGAACGCAGAAAAGCAAGACCTCCACTGGTATGGCCCAATCCTGAGTTGTCAAATGTACAGTACTTCCAAGCTTAAAATAAAACAACGGTGTTCCTATCCAGCCCCCACTGATTCACTACATCAAGTCGAAATGCAGCTCACACTATGATTCAGTGAATTGTGTTAACAGTTGCTGGAGACTTTCAGGAACGGGCTGGGCGGCTGGGCGCTGGAATAACTGAACGAATAACAGAATCCCTGTTTGTCGTGTTTTGATCAGCTCACTTACTGAGGGGTGCGTTTGCAACCGGCATGCATGAATTGTTCGTCCGTCGTGCACACGACACAAAGGTCTAATTTGTATTGAAATGTTGACTCATCCTTTGATTCCAGGCAGAAACAGCCATATAAGGTTTTGGCTTCGGTTCTATTGAGGTAAATTTTACTCGCCAAACCTTAAGAATGACTCCTACGTCCTGTGTATCTAGGTAATTCAGTCTCAGGCACTTTCATGGGATGGATGGACCCCTACCTAAGGTACAGTGGCTCGGGTCTCGGCGCATATATCTTCCACTCCCGCTTTTGGCGCCCCACTCAGGTAAACAAAACCACATCGACTGAGCCGCGATTTTATCTCTTTTTTTCCCTTCTTCTTCAACCTACTAGAAAAAACTGAATCCTTCAAATTCACTCTGGCTTTCATTACACCATGGAGGTACTTGGAGGGGAAACTGGAGGAAAGATGAATCACCGCTGACACTTACCCTCTGTTCTGCTTGTAGCTTTTGCTGCGTTGGGAGAGAGAAATTTTGACGCGGTACATACTTTTCTTCCACATCTTTTGAAGATGTGAAATCATGACTGAGGTGAGTCTGTATGTGAGAGAGCATGGATGCTTCCTCACTTTGGTATACTCGTAATTTGATACCTACATTTGCGCCATGCTACCCTCATATTCCAAAGTGACCATATAATAAATATACCTTCGGCAAAGGGTAAATGCTGCAGTGGCATTTCTCCCAAGATCTGCAAACCTTTGAGACCTAAATCTGGGTATAATCCCAAAACTCTTTTGCCGCACGCATTCTTCATTTGCTGGAGGTTCTAAGCGATATCAAAGTTTCACATCTGTGTTCGAGATCAATCATGCATCTTGCTTTGAGAATCTAGGGACAAGTCGACAGGCTGTGGTATCTATAGGGTAAGCGAGTTATCATCGCCACTCCTCACAACAATTCATCAGTTAGACGGTACATCAATATTGGTGATCAGGATTTGACGTTGGTTTATTTTGATATTAAATATTTGGCATTGAATATGGCCCCGTTCTTGAAGGTTGCGGTGCCAATGCCGCCGACCTATCTCGGCATATGCTTCAGATCAACCAATAGACAAAGGTTTCTCTCGTACAAACCACACCTCCAAGTTTAGCAATCATTAGGACGAGCCACCAAGCATTCTTTACAGGTTTAGTGTCCAACAATACTTTTGTGACGTCTGCTCCCTAGCGTTTCTTGCTAAAGAAGCTGTCTCTTTTGTCAATAAGGTCCGACAACGCCAGAAGATACCGTTGATCCCGCGCTTGTTTCTGAGCACTTGGTTTGTTCATGATATATTCTCGGCGTGATCTTCGCCAGTCCCTTAGCTCTTTTCTGTATCGAGGGCTCACAGGAGTATCCATCGGTCTGAGTATGTGTTTCGTGTCCCAAAACAGTGCTTTGATCTCCCTGTCATGTTGTTCACTGCGCTCGCGGAGCCTACCAGCATGGACCGGATTTTTCCAGTCGAGTTGGTGCACATGATACGACGGCAGGTTCGAGTCAGGCTCGGAAACCGTTTCTTTTTTGAAATTCTGTGTTGGTGACAGGATCCTAGAGGTTCTGGGTGGCTCATCTGGGCTATTGCCTTCTTGGGAATGAAGACGCGGCGGCGCGAGGATGTCAGAGCCGTCATCGCTTTCAGAACTAGAACCAGAAGAGTCTGAGGGCAAGCGGCCGTGATCGGGAGGTGTAACTGGGGTTCCCGGCTTATCGATATCTGAGTCGCTTTCAGATAGACCATGCTGTGAGCTACTATCGAGTTCTGGGCTCATCGACAACGTGCCGGTGCTCCTAGACTCGGATAGTGGTGATAGAAGCCGTTCAACAGGGAATGCTGTTAAGTAGGCCGAAGGGATGGAGGACTCATCATCAGGATCGTCATCGTCACTGATGAAACCCTCATCACTCGCTAGAACAGAGTCCGTCAGGTCGCTGTTGAAGAATGTTAGTGCAGTGAGAGGGTCAGGGAAAGCGAAGCAGGATTCTGAGCTATCATGACTGGCCATGTTAGAATTTGACATTTTTGCTCTTTATAGAAAATGGTACTTTTGATGCGGAAATTTTACAAAAAAGTCTTATTTTGAGATGGCGAGCAAAGAAATATATAGGTTATAAGACCATGGAGGACCTATGGGAGACAGCAAATAGGTTTGGTTTGAATTTGCGAGTTGAAGTATCTTTTTTATTAAACTTCCATACTGAAGATGTTCAGAAAGTGTCTCCTTATATATACCTCAAAACTGTCGCTTTGTCACGGTAGAACATGGTTCGCTGCACTTTGACAGCACAAAATAGGTTTGTTCGTAAGCCAGTGTTCCAGACTATCAGTGAGTCACGTTCACCCAGAAAACTATCAAACTATATGTATCAAGGGGTTGAAAAGTAAGAGGGAAGGGAATTGATGCAACTGAATGAGCGCGTACTACTGAAACCCAATATATGAACAAGAGAAGGCAAGGCAACTCAGGACTGTTTCCCTAAAAGATAAAATACTTGAAGTAACTGGTCTAAGTTTGCCTAGATTTACCTCAAATACCTAAGATTAGTGTGAGAAGTTTTCTCTGAGTTGTTGAGGCTATGCGCATATTGCCTTCCAAAAGCTTAAGTTGAATGGGATTTTTCAGTGTGGTGGCTTGATATGTCTCGCTGAGGCGTCATAAGCTTTAAGTATCAATCAAGCTGTCTCTGAGGATGAATACCTCTGCTGAAACATACTCTCAGGTTTCAAGGAGAGAGATCAAAGCTTATGTCAACTATTATACTAATTTGAAAGAGACTTGTATGTCATGGATTCTTTGGACGCCCGAGACCCATATCCTCTAAAACATCAATAACCCGTTTTCTCTTGGCCTTCCTTATTGCTAGCATAGGTGCGGACCTCTCTGAACACACCAAGTTGACTCCCTTGGGTATTGTAGCAGGCTTCTTCCCATTGGGCGGAATGACCGATTTACGTGTAAACGTAAATTGTCGTGTTGCGAATAGCCCCCGGCTAATATATGACGGTCTCGTATCAATACCACCACGTTGAGAAGTGTGACCCAAGTGAAGGCAAGCAATCGGCCGCGAGGGTAGGATGAATGGACCTGCTACAGCCTTGTAGGGAAGGGCTCCACGGGCTTCCAAATCTCGATCAGAACAAAGTTGACCGAGAAAGGAGTAAAGCCAGAATGCCCAAGCCTCAAATGCGACCCCATGACATGTGCGAGCTTCTCGAGATGCAGCATCAATATCCCACCAAGGCGTATTCTCCTTTGCAGTATCGCAGAGGTAGTTAAGGAGAAGCGGTGCCTGACGATCCTGAACAAATTTAACAGCACATCGCGAGTCGCTGCACAACGACACCAAATCATTGTCGATACTTGCAGCGAGGTCACGCATATTCCTGTCTCGGGTTTCTTCTAGCGGTGCAAAGAGCATGAGATATCGCAACAGTGAGTCGTCCAACCTATGTGGCGGTGAATCTGCCTGCTCCCATCCGTGTTCTTGCGCTGCCACCTTGCTGGCGTCCCACGCGTCCCTTGCACCAATAACGTCGTATAGGGCAAGAGATGGGAATTGTGACACCCACTGTAGAGATGCTTTGGATGTCGTCTCATCTCCCCATATTCGTAGACTCGAAGCAAGGGAAATGGATCAGGTTTCTCAGACCATCCCCGGACAAGACGGTCCGAAACATTTGGGAACGCAGTCCGCTCTGTTGGCTGAATTATCTCGAGGACGCCGAGATTAGGCATGTCCGCCAGTCCCAGAAGATCATGCGTATTGAAGGTGCAACCGCCAGAGATGACTATGTGTGTTATGAAGTCCGAGGGCGGTGCTGTTAGAGGTTGAATGTAACGGGTGAGGTTGTTACCAGGATGGCATATGTGATGTCGAAAGCGGTACAGGCCAAGATTCTTCTCATCTCCTTCTTCCATGAGGAGTTTGGAGAGATACTTCCAAGCATGGAGAGATACTCCTCTATCCCAGTATCAGTATCAGTATTAGTATCAGTATCAGTCGCAGATCTCTAGATGTTTCCGCGCCATCCGCAGGATGTATGTCGTACTGACCTTGCCTCGAGATACCTCCAAATGCGCCATAGTATGGCTTTTGGTAACGACTCAAGATGTGTGGCAGAGCGAATCTTGCCGAAATTATCGCCAACAACACTGATAGCTATGTCTACCAAAGATCGAGGTCCCTTTGTGCCTCGAGGCTTGAATGAAGGGTATGGACGGCGCCGGCTCCAGTCTGCATTGCTCTCAGCCGTGAGAGCCTCCCGGGTCATGACATACTCCGAAAATGCTGGTCCAGACTCTGGGTCGAACATTGCTGAATCGAATGAAATTGAGAAAGTGGCGAGGTTAAGTGAGACGGCACCGAGGGGAGGCAGGAAATCCTAGGATATCTTGTCCAAGTGATAAAAAGAGTTAGGTAAGTTTACATATATCTTAGTAAGCCTTTAGACCAGTTTATTTTGGCACCCTGATTTAATGTTAGTGGTTTTCTTTCTCCCCGAGGTGCGTTTCACCACCTCTGTAACACTGATAAGAACTTACTTAAAGTAAATGAGCCGACTTTGCGCATAAAAATGAGCCAAAGAAAATAATCAAGTATGACACATGTAGTCTCTCATTGGGTTATTTTGAATTTTTTATTATGTTTGTGGCTTTAAATCTTTTAACTGTTCTCCCTCGCGGAAACACCGTCTGAACAAGCCTATTGTTTTTCCATGCATCAACGGGAACAAGCGAAGCCGCTCACACAGTGGGTGGCTTATAACGGCCGCCCTCTGATGCGATGGCTTCAAGCCATTAGACCCTCTTCCCGATCCGCAAGCTTGTCATCTCAAAGCCGGGTAATCCTTCTTCAAAATAGGTACTTTTCATATGACCGTGCGCTATGGTATCCAATCGTAATATCATTCCTTCTCTTTTATTTGCGTCATCTATAGCATGGGCTTGAGGTCCTCAGCGACGTGGAAGGGAGCCTCTGTCTTGCTCTTGACCTCATCGACTGTGACACCGTCTGCGATCTCGATAAGGGTAAGGCCGTTGGCGAAGTCGACATCGAACACGCCCTGGGATGAGAGTCAGTACATCATTCATCAACTAATGACATGAGGAAGATTTGGGCAAACTTACCAGCTCAGTAATAATTCTCGACACACAAGCACGTCCAGTCAGAGGGAATGCACACTGCTTCACAATCTTGGGGTTGCCCTTCTTGTCTGTGTGCTCCATTGTCACAACAACCTTGGTCTCACTAGGGTTGCTGACAAGATCCATGGCACCACCGAAGCCCTTGACCTTTCCGGGAAGCATCCAGTTAGCAAGATCACCAGTGGCGCTGACCTGCATAGCTCCAAGGATAGTGAGGTTGATACGACCGCTGCGAATCATACCGAAGCTCTCCTCGCTACCGAAGACAGCAGCACCGGGCTTGAGAGTAACGGTCTCCTTGCCAGCGTTGATCAGGTCAGCATCCTCCTGTCCCTTTTGAGGATAGGGACCCAGGCCAAGGATACCGTTCTCAGACTGGAGCTGAACCTCGACCTCAGGACCGACAAAGCCAGGGGCAAGCATAGGCATACCGATGCCCAGGTTAGCGTACATGCCGTTCTTGAACTCCTTAGCAGCACGACGAACGATGCGCTCACGCTTGGCAGCTGTGTCACCAGAGCCGAGGGCCTTGGTAGCCTCAGGGTCGTTAGGGTCCTTAGCCCAGGTGTACTTTTCGATCGACTTCTCTTCGGTGCTCTGAATGACGCGCTTGACGTAGATACCGGGCAGGTGGACAGCCTCAGGAGGAATCTCACCAGGCTCGACGATGTGCTCAGCTTCGACAATGGTCATCTTGGCGTTGCGGCCCATGGCGCCGTTGAAGTTGTGGGCAGCGAGACGGAATTGGCAGTTACCGAGCTTGTCAGCCTTGTAGGCCTTGACGAAGGCATAGTCGCCGTCAATGCTCTCCTCAAGAAGGTAAGACTTTCCCTTGAAGACCTTGACGTCTTTGGGGTAAGAGTAGACATCAGGGGAACCATCGGCCTTGTTGCGCAGAGGAAGATCACCAGTCTGGACAACTGTGCCAAAAGCAGCAGGGGTGTAAAAGGCGGGCACACCCTTACCACCAGCGGCGCATCGCTCAGCAAGAGTTCCCTGAGGGGTCAGCTCAAGCTCGACCTCGCCAGTGAGGTACATCTTTTCAAAGGTCTTGTTCTCGCCAATGTAACTAGCAATCATCTTGCGGATTTGCTTAGTCTTGAGAAGTCTGCCGAGACCAAAGTTGTCGGTACCAGCATTGTTGGAGACAGCTGTGAGACCCTTGATTTCAGGCTTCTCAAGAACCTCGTTAATAAGAGAGTCAGGAACACCGCAGAGACCGAAACCACCGCAGAGGAGGGTTGTGTTGGGCTTCATGTCCTTGAGAGCTTCCTTGGCAGAGGGGAAGACCTTGTTGATCTCGGCGCGGCGAGCGGTTGCCGAGAAGGATCGTGCGAGGACAGCATTAGGCTTGAGATTCGTTAGCATACAGCCGAGATGCGCATTGAGCTGCCCGAGACACCTACGTTGGTGGGATTGCGAGCAAAGGCTCGGAGGGTCCGTAATCGGAAAGCTGAAGAAGACATGATGTGTGTGTTTGGAGAGGACGGATGAGAAGGTCGGGAATAGCTTCAGTGTCGACAACCCTGCTGTCGGTTAGGAAAGTAGCTGGGGTATATGCTTGTTTGCACGATCAATTGAGCTTCATGCGCCAGGGCTCTTTCTTCCAGAGACAGATCAGAGAACAAGAATTCTAGCAAGAGATGTTATGAGAGAGAGAACTTGAGCCGGCAATGACGATAGAAGTCGACGGGCCGTTGGCGGGGGATATCCGTTTATTAAGGCCGGCTCTGGCCGTAAATCGACCTCCGTCTAAGCTCAAATACAATTCCGCGACCAAAGTTCGGAAGCGATAATCGGCATTCGGTATGATACCAAAACAGCATTCACAGGAACATTTAGGCGGGTCACCCTCATAAGCTCTCCTCCAACGG